AGGGCCTCAGACAGACCAAACCACTCGTAAGTCAACAGTGCAGACCAGCCACTTTTCGTGCACACACCGGCACAATGATGAGACTAAGTGTGGCACCAATATGGCGGCGTCGGAGCAGCCAGCGGCCGCGTACCAAACATTATTCGGCAATTCGTCAGGAACCACACCGTTGGCTCGGAATGGCCGGCCACCAATCGGCGATATTGCATGTACCACAAAAGAAGAGCGCGCGCAAATTTGAACTTGTGGCGCGAGAGCGACGATTAGAGCAACAGCGCAGCGCATGGCGCCAAGAGAAACAGCAGAATCAAAGCTACCGTCCGCTGTTCGATATCAGCGGAGTCGCCGCCAACCGAAGAATTTGTTCGCGTTTGATGACCAACATGTTCAAGCCCACCCAGATCGGTTTACCGGATGGTGCTTAGACTAGCTATTGGGCAAACGGAATCGACTCAGATAATGGTTTTCCGCAGTATAACATTTTTTGTTTTATTGCATATAAGAAACTTGTTTGTCGATGGAAGGTGCTGCATTAACCTCTTGGCGGGGTATAGCTCTACGTACACATATATTTCGATGGCTTCGAAGATGCGAGCGTAAAACCGGCTTAGTGCACGCGTCAGCACACACATTTCTTGAAGCAACTTGAATAACTTGTACTATCGGAAAAAGTTAATGTATAAAAAGAGGTACCAAAAAAATGTCCTAAAAATAGCTTGTGGATATTCTGCTTTGCAATGATATTGCGATTAGGATTAGGGCAGAATGAAGTTCACACGTCAAAGAAATGTTAGAAACCTTGTTGCGATGTAGAAGTGCGTATAATAAAGTAATTTAAAAGGAAGTGAACATTATCTTGATGCACAGTGGTATTACAGTCATTTTGTAACTGAAAGTTCTGAATGCCGGTTTTGTGTTGCCGGTTATCGTTCCCACAACTGAAGTATAAATTAGCGTATCGTTTCACACATGGTTTGCGTTTAGGAACTTCTGGCCGCATGACTATTAATGTACACGTAAAGCCTGTTCCTTTTCTAAAAGGACCGCCTGTAAAACCTGCGGGAAATGAGTCTCAAGATTTTATGCGGCAAAATGAAAAAAAGTGACGTCAGCAAGGTGAAATTAAATACTGGACAATATATCATGCTATCGTATTTTGAGCTTCAGTTGTTTTATGATTATAACTTTTCTATGATTTTCAGTGCCTTGGTTGGATTGGTTGCCTTTCGCTGTGACCACTTCTAGGCACTATCAATGTTTTATGCTTTAATTTTTTAAACAATATGTTTGCAAACTACCAGAAATGTTCTTAGGATTCGACTGAACGCGCTATTGGACACTATAAGTTATTTGCTCATTCAGAGAATTAAATTCTGTCAGCTTCTAAGTAGTGACGAAGCGTAATACTTTCGCTAATTAGTTATTAAAATTTGCGAAATAAAAAGAAGCTTATGAGAGAAAATCGGAAGGATATCTTTCATACGCGATCTGTCAAAATGAATTAGCAGGTTTCAGGCGTAAGAAAAGCACTTCTTAAGCAGCTTGAAAAAAGATACAACTGAATCTCTTGAGTAGAAGCATTAGCACGACGTCAGACGCTTGTCGTTGCATCGGATCATCCGAGGACGTCGAAACGTCTACCGTAGCAGTAAATGATCCTACACCTAAGAACAGAACGTAAGGTTTGAATAGACCGTGTTCATACTCGCGTAGGCCTGTGGGGGATAAGATAAATAAGGGGCAATAATGACGTAACATAAACGTTAAATTGCCAAAAACCTCTGGATAAATAAAACTATTACTTTAATTATAATGTAAGACAGACAGCAAAAAAGCAAGATATGCTTAACCTGAACTCGAATTCATAAATATCCCGCCTTACGCATAAAGTGGTATGGAAGTTTTCAAATGTCTATTCTTTGGCCTCAATACAGCTATGAACGTGACGAAACTACTAAGTATAGAAAATGAATGGGTCAATCGTACGGAGATACTAGAGAGTGCAATTTTGGAATATTTTGCAAATCGTTTCACTTCACGTGTCGTTGGTAGTAATATAATATTTATAGTATCCTAATCATAATAAAATGCCGCTAAATTTTACTTCAAGATAGCTTGAGTGGTATAATGCATGCACTAGATATACATTTTCTAGAGTTAGCAATTAAGCGATACGGCTAACTTAAGAATAAAACATTAGACTGGATGGGGTATAAAAGTAATTTAAATGTTACGTACGAATGTCAATACGTTTCGTAAAAACCTGTCTTCTCCTAACTTGTTCTGCTTATATAGCGGAAATGCATAATATCAAAAAGAGTTTTAAATCCGTTTAACTGGAGAACTGTGAAAGTAGCTGCCTAAAATATGTTTAGAAAATTTACTATGCTATAGACGCATTAGGATTCCTTAGATGCATTCGGCTCCATGTGTATAGTTATATGTATTATTAAGTCATATGTTAACACTAAATTATCGACTGAGAATGTAAACTGGGTCATTATAATTTTTCTCACGGTAGCACTGTACAACATTCTCCCGTCTTTTGTGCAGTTGATCTTGCTAATGCTCCAAGAAATTAACAAATTCAATTAATCAGCTTCAGGATGCATTCTGTCAATTCCAAGCAGTGCCACGATTTGTGCAGGATTTATAGACAGGTGCTTTTTATGCGACACTTCATTAGTCTCACTATTTAGCAATTATCTTATTATGCAGCTCTGTCGAATACCGGCGTAAACTTCAATACTGCGTTCAATTTTAACGTTTGTCTAGAGAGATTTATTGGTAATTTGTAATTAGAACTCGGATATGAATAGGTTTCACAGTACGTAGATATTTCACAATATAGACAAGAGAGTTACTTAAAATGAGCTGAACGAGCGACCAGAGTACGTTATATAAGCAATAGATGCTTAATATTATACTAATTGTTCTCAATGTGCGCCAATAATCGCGTGCAAAGCTCTTCGTGTTTTGGGCGAGCTCAGTATTGTGAATTAATTAGCAAAAGCAACTAATAACAACTTTTTAACTGTGAAAAAAGATGAGGAAGGCAATATGTAGCTTCATCAAGTAATGATCAGTAGAGGTTGATAATGCAACGAGCATCGCTGTTAAGTGGATAATAGCAGTGACTAGAGATTTTTAGCGGAAGATATTATTCGGTATACTAGGAATAACATCCTGCGCAACACATTAATTAAGAATAATTTCATTTTCGTTTTGATGGCAGGCCTGCAACCGAACCAATATATATGGCGCGATACTGCCTACGCACTTCTCACACGGTCAAGCAGTACAGCAAGATGGGTAGACAATGCATGTTCAGTTTTTGTTGAATTGCTTTACTCATATGATACTCGCGTAGTTTTCCTAGCTGTCAAAGTTTTAACAAATATCATTAGTGGCGGGCAGGACTTTCGAGACACGTCTATAGCTCAAGGACATTGTGATTTACCGTTCAAATCTTGCCGTAAGCGACGTACACTAGGATATCCTGTAAAGTGTAGTTGGATGCATTAGCCAGCTAATCAATGACGCTAATGCCCTATGCTACCTGGACCTAATCGATGTTCAACCACAATTAATCAGCCATTTTGTAAAGCGCTAACCCTAAGGGCTGCTTTTCGAAGCACATAGTTGGCTTGCAAACTTTGACGCAACTTTTACGTTTAGCTAGTGGCCGATGTAGTTATTATTGGTAGTCTGGTATGACTACAATTTTTTTATGGCAGCAGTTAACGCATTAGATTTACAAACGATCCTTAGGCTGGCCTTGATCTCCAAGCCATGCCTATGCATAGGCAGTTATTACTGATAAAGATTCAGGTAAATAGCAGGCGTTTAGTGGTGTCGATACTCGCAAGCCTAGCAGAGGAACAGAGAAAATGTCACAGGCGATTATTGACACTGCTGGTGCCAATTCTGACAATCTTTTAGCAGGAACGATTTAGGCATCCTCGAAGAAACAATTCTTCCCGCCTTCAGGCTTCTATGCGCTTCGTGATATTTGTTTGAGCTGGAGTTTTTTTTTCTGCTCGTGGGCGTATTGAACGCAGCTAGCTCAGGGAAAGTCATAAAGGTAACCGCATTGAAATCAATAATAGGAACTAGAAATTTTTATAGAAAGAAACTTGTACATTGTAGACCTCCCAAGCTAGGCAAGCTCCTAGGGAGCGCAAAAACTATAGAAGAAAGAATGAATCTGCTTAAACGGTCGTATATTTAAACAAGTGTTATATACCGATGTTGAAAAGAGAGATTACTACAATCTGCAATAGACTTACTTGATATATATATATATATATATATATATATATATATATAACATTGTTGAAAAAATCCTCCAATGTTGATAAGGAAGTGAGTGTATTGTTATTGAATTTGCACAATATTCATAAATATCTTTTTTACATGTGATCGATATGAGTAAGAGCTTACTTCGTTTATATTTCGATGTGCGTTCGATTTTCTGTCCTTAGGAAATGAATAAATAGATACCCTGACCAATGGAAAACCAACGATTGTTATACAAGCTTAAGACAAACTAAAAATAAAGAAAATGCAGAACGGATGTACTATAGGCTGTTTGTATTTAAATAACCCTGATTCTACGTTAGATATATAATCTAGACTTTAAAGGAACTATGCTTTGATAAAGAGTGGAACATTTAAAAAATATTGCAGTGATCTAATCTCTTATAGGAATTCTCTACGGAAGAGATGTCATACATGAATATGGTATACCATATGAGCATACCATTGTATAGATTTACTATATTTACAATGGGAAGGGATAAGATCGATGCTCCACTTCAACAACATATATGGCTATGTCCACCTATAGGAACATGCATGACTACATTGTGGCTAAAATAAGCAAAAATGTTTAAGCTACGTTTATTTTTAATTATCGCTTTTTCTACTAGCTAGAATACGTAAGCTTCCCATACAGTTTATGTTTCTCATCAATCTATACGAATAAGAGCCTTTCTGTCAATCATCCAGTAGATTCTGAAAAAGCCTTGAATTACTGTACATTTAGCAATTACAAATTTCACAATAGACTTTCAAATGCTGTCAGTTTTATTTACGACATGGTTATGTGTTAACGGCTATGACGCCTACGGCTTTAATCTCAGAATGTTTAATAGATCTCGCAATAAAATATGTATACAAATCAGTGCAGTTACCTTAGACAGAGCAAAGGAATGTGGGATTAAAATCAAATCACTAAGTTGGCTAGAGCCATTTAACGGGTCGAAAAACAATGTAAGGTAAAACAATGATATTTTAATAAATTTCAGATGTACTCTTTTTGATGCTTTATGGACGCACGCTGGCGCTCTGGGAACATCGTAACAGCTGTGTACTAGTAACTGCATTACTAACCTAATCTAATCCCTATATTAATGGCCTGTTTGAAATCAACGACGGAATGATACGTTATGTCATCCATCGTTTTATTCAAAGTATAAAAACTAATGTATGACACAGATGGTGAGAATACGGGAACTGAAGCCGCTGCTCGATGCTATCTTTCTCGATCCAGGCCATGGTTGAAGCGTGGCGGTGAGGTCGTGCGTTGTTATCAAGTAACTACACTGTACTGTCGAATACAACCTTACACATTTATAAAATTATTCAGGAATTCAAGATTCTGGCAGCTATGGTAGTGTTGCTCATTTGCTTGATACTCATTGGCCCCAAGAGTATCACCAAAGCCGCCTTCCCTCTTGTTCGATGCTATTTTTTTGCCTAATCTATTTCTGGTAATTTTTTTTGCGATTAATCGTTTTGCACATCTTCCTATCGACCATAATTTTAGTCCTCAAGGTGTACTTTTTAGCATTTTGTTTGGTAAATTCTTTTGCGTTTATAGGCCCGCCGTTTTTAAAGCGCTATTTACCAAGCTATTTGTTTATAGCCGGGCTACGTAAAAAGCAATCATTACCATTAATCTGCCCGAATTACCCGTGGACGTTTCGGAAATTATATCGGGTTTAAATTTAAATGCTTTCTGAATAACTTATTAGCTACAAAATTTTTATCGACATAAATTGTAACTTTGCTCAAGATTGTCGGATTTGGAAGTTACATGATTCATGGCGGGGACCGTTCGACTCACATTTAGACGAATAATTTTTTTGACTGTTGTAGTAGACGCCATATATGCCGTTAAGGGTTGAATCCTTTTATTTTCATGCCCGCTGACTTTTAAGCGCTTCACACTACAAGCACGTTTCATTATGATGCTGATCCCTGCCGATCTGAATTAAAGTCATGTCATGTGTGATATGCATCACTTCGCTAAGTTGGTTAATTTGCTGAAATCTAACTAGCGAATTTGAAGTTTCGTTGGTTACCAAGATATAAAAACATGAGAACTGATGCCTTAGAGAAAAAAACGCATATAATTTGTGTATGAAGTTCACTACTACAAGGAGATGGTCAGGAACAATGTGCTAATACCGTACATCCCTTCACACCAATAAAACACCTATTCATATTACTATGTACAAAATATTCATTTACATTAATATGTAGTAGTAAGTGAATGCACCCCATTATTATAGTACGGCATTGATTATGCCCATGTCACTTGGTTATTTTGCACTGGCCTCTAATAATGTATGTTCCTGATTGGCTTTTATCTTACTGAACCGGCATTTTTTACGACTTCAGCTTCCAAGCAGTACAATACCGGGCAAGGGCAGCTAAATATTTTAGTCAAGCATAATACTGCATTATCGAATTAGCTTCTTAAGCATTTTTATGCGATATTTTGCTATGAACAAAAATCCACAATATGCATAATCTATTTACTCATATTTTGCATTGTAAAATCTTTCAAAAAAATATTCATGTGAATGAAGCAGTACGAACGACGGTCTTAGTAACATTTTCCAGTAAAGCTCAAGTAAGTAAGTAAGATTTTATTGCTGATACCACGTCGTCTATTTAGCCAACAGATAAGTTAAATATACGTGAAGTCGCGGCGTGGTACGCTACGAATTTCAATGAGATGTGTTAGGTCAATAGTTGGAGCCATGGCATCCTCCAGAGTCCGGAAAGGTCGCTGAAAATATAAAAATATGAATTAACTTGAAGGCTTAGTTATTTCCTACAGGGAGGCTGTAGTAGTTAGTATAGAGGACGATTAGACAATCGGTCGTTTTCAAAAATTATAAGGTTTACTGAAAAAAAAAACTTTGTCGGTCGGACCGGAGCTGTTTTCAAGGCATAGATACATTTTGACTAATGCAATCTTATTTGTTAGGATAGACTTAATCCCTATCCTAGGCCTCTTTTTTGTGGCTTCATTCAATAATCTGTCGTTTATTTTATCTAATAACAATAGCAATACAGGTTGAAATACTTGCCTACTTACTACATACTTTTTATTAAAAAATCGTGTTAATTTTCGCAAATCTGAACGTTTCTTGTATAAATAACAGTAAAAAAACAGTAAACAGAAATAATGAAAGCAAGTATTCATTTTAACATGTAGGTATTATAAATGTTACATATATGTACAATGGTGTATAATGTGCATATATGGTGCCAGTATTTTTTGTATGAAGCATTCAGTTTCTATCTACAAACTTGGAAGTTGCCGCGCTAAGTTGTTATAATTAGAACCAAAAAAATATTACCGATGGTGTAGCGAAAACCTGAACCGTTCTTTCAAGTTGTTTGCTACTGGTTGAATGGCGACTGCGTTTTTTCGGTGTTGACGCTATATCAATTGTAGCAAAACGTTTGATGATTGTGTTGCTGTTGTAGGTTTCGTTGTTGCTTAGATTGTTCCTCTTGGCGCATTTACTATCCGAGTATGTCGATCTATGTGACGTTGACGAAGGAGACTCAATTTTTCGCCTCAGCTTTGATACTGGGGGAAAAAAATGCCGACGAAGTGAGAAGACAGAATTCGTGAATGGTACTACAAAAATAAAACTATTAATATATTTGTCATCCTTTATATTTTGCCTACACAATTCTGTCTGGGAGATGGGGTGTTTTTCTTTGTTTCTAAAACTGAATATCACAATCTACCACAGCTTCAACTTGAAATTAAAACCACTAATTTAATCCGAAATATTTTCTTTGCTCTGCAAGTCATTTTCTTGATAGCAACCATCCGTGAAGCGAGATTAATAGAGGGAGTCTCACTAAATTTTGGTTAAAACATGCCACATCTAAAAATAACGAAGTTAAATTTCAGAACAAAGTCAAAGCTTCCTGCAAGTGCAAAAATAAAATTCTACCAGCGGAATGTTGGACCAGATTTTTTCAAGTAATATATCGAATTAGTAACGCTTTCGAAGCTGAAAGATGTAACTATATAGATTTTTTTGTGTATTTTATCAATCAAACTGAATTTTTAAAATATGAAATCTTAAGAATGCACGTACATATTCCTAATTCGCGAAGTCGTTTCTGGCTTGGCGTTTCAGTAGTGTTGCCTGGAGATGCTAGCGTCGACAGCCGACTCAAAGAGGCTGAAACAACATTTGCCAAAAAAATCACTCAAATATTTGGTGAAGCGCAACTTCTGTGCTACTTCAACTTCACATAGAAAAAATATTCAAATTATTTTTCTCAAATTGATGTTCTCTCGTTTCACTAACACATTAGGACGGATTCACTACGATTTTTTTTACTGTTTTTAGCCAAAAAAATGTAAAGTTGCGCTGCAGTGCAGACAAACTCTATTACATTCCGTGTGTGTATGTACTAATGAGATTTGTGGGCCAAAAAACCTGCTAAGCTTGTCATCAGAAATTGTGACACAATAATCCAGTGCGTAATTGCACACTGTCATTTCCAAGGCAAATATGCTCCTTACCAAGTGTTAAAGTGCCCAATTTATTTGGGGCTGTCTTCTTATTACTCTTTGGAGTTTGGGGTTCACTCGAAGGCGCTGAAATGGACAAGAATTCGTTCACAAAAGGGGCCAACTGTGAATTTTTTGATCATAGGTAGAATTTTCGGAAGTAGATTGAATCGTCCGATTAATCATATAGATGTCCACTCCCAAAGAGCAATTTTTAGATTGCTACGTTTTCCGTTAGAAAATTCCGTGCTTTGTTGTACCATAATTTGACACCTTTACATTAAAACTTTACCCGAAAAAAATATTCCGGTGTGAAACTATAATTTGCTTTACGTAGATTCTTTATCATTACTCGTATCCCACAAGATAAAGGACTTTTTCGACACCTCAACTAGGTACGTAAGTTCCTTTATCTCGTGAGTTACGCACCTACCTTTTATAGGCAATATGTCAACATAATACTACACGACATGCAACTTATTGTCTAATCCAAATCGACTTAATTTGTTATTGTTTATACAATGAATGGTAGATTCATGTTACGGCTTTACTATTAGGTTCTTATAACCATTTGTACTAGAGTCAAGATCACCTTGTATGGTTGGCTTTCCTTGAGCGACATTAAAAAATGTGTTCTCATCGGCCAGATCTGCGAAAACGTGAGTCTCGGTCGTGTGGTCAATTGTTTTCGCAGTTTCGCCAAGTTCCAGTTGGGTCCGCATATCGTCATTATTAAGTGATGATTGCGAAATAGAACTTGAACAACTTGGTGGATCGAAAGCCGAAGGTACTGAAATCGTTCACAAGCACAACAAAAACACAGAACAAAGAAAAGCTAACTTTATGTGTAAACGGTGTAAATAATAGGAAAGACATGGCAGAAATTCACGTTTTGAATCATTATCACGCATTTACTAAGTATATCGCGTGACAACAAAAGGAATTAACGCAAGCTAAATAAACCTTTGTCAAACTATTTTCTTGAAACAGCGAAGTCTTGATTTACATATGTCGATAGTATAACAATAGCTGGTAATTGGCGACGGCCCGTTTATAGGTAAGGGCGTTGTCTTGCTTGTGATTAATGTATATCTGCATACATTAATGTATGCTAATTTGTAAAAAAGACCGGCGAAGAACGTAAATAACATAAAAAATAATTGGCGTTAACATTTAATTTAAAAACATTGCGCATAAAGAACCACTTACTGTTGGCGAGGTCGTCTACGGAGGGCTTGCAGCAAGATATATCGCTATCATTTAGTCGCTGAAGGACTACACAACAGGAATTTTTCAGGGCATTGCAGAGGGAATCTTGGTCATGAGACCTATGTTCTGTAAGAACGTTTTCCGAAATAATACCCATATTACGTCGCCGCGTGCGGGAGCGGATCTCAAATGGGATACTATTACTTTCAGGTAAAAGAACACACTCAGTCAAATTTACTGCCTTATCTGAAACCAAAGGTAGACATATATTATAATAATAATTAACATTCTTATGATTATTTTTCCTTACAAACAAACGATACCCTAAATCCTGGTTTTTATGATAACCATCTTTTATACGCCATTGAAAAGCAGCTTGTTTTAATAATTTTTTCAAATTAAAAAAAATTTAGTTAGAGCTCTTAATTTGGTATAAAAATAGCATTTTCTAGGTACATTATTAGTATGTCAAAAAGCTGCCGAAACAATCCAGAGCATTGTATGACGTATACGAAAAAACAACTAAGATCCTACAGCTGACAGCATTACTCAAAAGGGTCTTGCTAGGTCCATAAAAAGTGGGTTCGATACAATAGGACGCGGTCTATCAAGAAGCTATTCACAGCACCATCATTTTAGGTCTTGCAACATAGAATGTGATAAGGTCAAGATTATGGCGATAGCCCACTGGCACAAAGGCCTTTTAGCGATATGAAATTTGCACCAACATTTAGAAACGAAAGCAATAACCAAAAATATTAATAATACGTTAGAGTCTAAGAGTACTTAGACGCCAACAATATTATTAGTGATTTATAAGTTATTTCTGGTTACGCTAATATAATCTTTATCGCGAATGCGATCAATCTTGATCATAAATTTCGGCTAGAATACACTATCGGCACACTCGCAACGCATCTGCCTGCTGTCCTAGTTGGACTAGTTAATTATTATTTGATCGTTCCGCTAAGTTACCTACAAAACCTAAGGACACGTGAGGAAATCTACATTCGATGTCGAACTGACCCACATCGTGTCGTACTAAATGTCAACCACCTGTAGCAGTGAACGGCACTATGAGACCTAAATTTCGGAATATTCTAAAAAACCTCTTGGAATGATTTCTTTTAATCAAAAGTTGGTTCGAAATATATCCCATCCAATAAATTTCCTTATTTTAAGTGTATTTCGCGTCCAAAGTCACTATAGTATAGTTGCTTGAGGAATGAATAATAGCCAAGTAGCCACACATTACACAGTTTAACTGAAAATACTGCACGTAAAAATTGTGTGTATGGCTACAGATTTCTGTTACGCATGGAATCAGCTATTAGTTGCTGGTGTATTTAGAATCTCAAAATATAAAATATAACGAAGAATGATGGGTTTAAACACACTTTTCATCAAATAAACGAAAGCTGGCGCTGAAATTCCGAAAAAAGAAAATCAGCTAGGGCAGACCGGACCGACAACTTCGACATTTTTCTTCCAAATTTCAGTTTCCAACATAATCTTGTTATATAATAAATTTCTGTGTCTAGACAAATATTGATAATCTTCATTGTCGTCGCGTCGTAATTAATCCAAATATCTATAGAACCTTAGTTATCTATATTTTGTAACAGTTGCGACGGTGTTTGTTTTATGCGCCATATATTTAAAAACGCAACCAAAATTTGTCGGGTTTCGAGTGGTATTTAATTCATTATTTGTCTTACGTCCATTTTTCGGCAATGCAGGGTTTCCTTGTCTCTACGTGCGTAAGCGTAAAGAATGGCTACTGTCATGCTTTTACTTTCTTTAAGATTATCATTATCTTATAAAGATAAAAAGCGAAATCACAAAAAAGGCTATGTGGTTTTCTCCGCGGGATAACATGATTGCGTCACTCACACGCGCGTCATTTGGAAAAATCTGAAATTAAGTAGAACATTATTTTGGACAGTATAACTCCGTTCTAGAGGCAAAGATAAATATATTTTGTAGTTATTTAGCATACCTGCATCCTCTATGAGAGTAAAATCTTTGTCGTCAACATCAGACGTCGACTCGGAATCCACAGTATCGTCCTGATCCAGCGTGGTTTCAGAGACAACGGACGCTTCGTCTTCTGACGAACTTTCGTAGTCATCGTCAAGGTCTGGCCACTCGTTCTCATCTGTGTCAACCATTTTTAGCAGAAAAAATATAGATTAGAAAGCATTCTGACCGCCCTGAGTACGGCTCCCGCTGAAATATTGAATATAACATTTAAAATTAATTTAAATACGCATACACTGACGCTGGCTAGCTTAGTTTATATAAGACAATATCGACCATGACCCACCAGTAGATATAATACTGACCATTTAGGTCTCGAGCCGTACTTTCATGAATCTCGTCGGGAATTTTGCGAAGCTTTTTGCTTACAGCGAGATATTCCTGCAGGGTCTCATCCTCACTTTTTTGCTGAATTGACTCTTTCAGCCTGATTTCATAAGTACCAAATGGAGAGCACGTCAGTGAGATTCTTTTGTTTCATTTGCAGATGCATTATATTGGAAAGACACATGCTGCAGGTTAGTTTACGCGAAAACTCAATTTAGCTCATTTTTCATTTGAGTGTGACGGGGGTATGCTGCTTCTAGATCCGAAAGGTGATACCTCTTTAAGAAATATATTTTTGGGGAATGACTCTCAATAATTGATTTTAAATAAATCTCTTGAATTGAAAGACATGATCAATGGTTCATTAATTATTGGGATACAAGTAACGAACCTGTTATCTGCCTCAAATATTTTTTGAACTAAAAATCGAGTTGAGCTTACTTCAATTCAAAGTAAACTAGTAGGCAAATCATATAGCTCTATTCTCCAAACGTCCTTCAAAAGACGACAGTGCATCCTTTTTGTTCTCAGAGTTTGGGGAAAAGAAATTTCCCAGTACCAGTATTTCCACTAAAGCCTGCATTATAAATAGAAATTAGGGCCAAGTCTTTTCTGAAAAAATATAAGGCAGACATGGCTAAATAATAGTATCCTTTACTGACCGATTGAATACATCGTCAGAAATATTCCTAACTAATGGGAGTTTACGTTGACTACGACGAAAACAGTTGTATCGACGGCGTTCAGGGAAGTTGTCTGCTTCCTTCTGAGATCTGTAATGGAACAACGTAAAATCTTTTAAATCTATCAGTTCTCGGTGGAGGACGAAGACGACTAGCTGTTAGCTCTGGCGTAGAGTCGTAAATTTTAAATGAATCAATAACTTGAGGCCGCTGTAAGAGGTGAAAGGCAAACAGATTAGCAGTGGTGACATGATGGCCGATGACGTTATGAGTGTTCTAATTGATGTAGTGCTGCATCTAAGTGATGTAGTGCATCTCATTGTAGAAATAAAGCCCGTAGTGACCAATGGGATGACTTGTTGTTAAAAAACACTTGTTTGACTGCGGAATCCTCAGCCAGAACCTGACTGTGCGTTACACATCAATTAGACCTTGAAGAACATAGAACGATATTGATGTTTCTATATAATATATATATAGGTGTTCAGGACCTGAGGTCTATCACGATTATAGGCTAATTATTTCGATTTCTCACATGATATGTATTTGGAAACTTCCGGATTTCCATCTTATGTATTTTCGAAGCTTTGGGGTGTCGTTGGTCGTTTCGAAAAACCTCAACATTGACTTACCAAGCTAAGTGGAACCGTGAGTCGACGGAGCCCGAAATTCTGAGTATTCCTTTTTAAGTGAAATTGGTATCTTTACACCATATGTTTAATTTAAACGTCAGGCTCTCCACACCTCTGATGGACGGCCGCGCATATTTCCTAATTATCATCTGAGAGGACCTAGCCCCAGACAGTGCAGTCTAAATAAGCATGCAAAAGCCTTAGCTGGAGAGGCTTGGTCATCTCTTCTGTGAGGCCCTTTAAATAAGCCTAGGGACACCTGCTCAATTTCATCGCACGTCTTTAAACGCTAGATAGATGGCTGCGTCTTCAAATGGGCTATGACAAAAAACGCCGTATTTGTGTTTTGTCAAATTTCAGGCTGATATTGTGGTACACGTTTAAGAACATCGTCGCCACCCTAAAGCCCAAAGAAATATACTGGCATTTCGGGGCATAGTGAACTGACACATGTTTCCTGCAGCTACTGCTACTATTACCCCTTAACGAAAGCTGACTCGTCAACGTTAATAGCTCTGTTTAAGCTAGCTCGTTATCGTGACCGACCGCTTATAACAGTAGATCGTTCGCTTATAAATTGTGAGCAGCGGGCTTATAGTTGAACGTCGGTACCCTGCCTGATCCAGACGATCTTTTCCTTTTTGCCTCCGTTAATGCAGTCTTGCACTTTGGCCAAGTTTCCTCACTCTGACCTAAATTTCCGAAATATTTAATAATCTCGAAAATCGATTTTTTCTTCTAGCCAGTGATAAATGCCGACTGCGGCGCGACTTTTCGTGCATCGATGAAGTCGACAAAAGCTACTTGATGCTTGATTATAGCTGACTCATTTACGGGAAACTCGAGTCTTCAACAGTCTTCAAGCAGGCGATAGATTACCCGGTTTCCAGTAAGGATAAACAAGTGTAACCTGGACACAAAAGTCGATTTTCTGAGCTCCCCGCCAGTGAAACGTTTCAATGTCACATTTTTGTTTATCTGTGTATATGTTCTGCCAAACTTCACTGTGGAAGAATAATATTCATCATTCTCAATATGTCCGTGAGTTGGTGCTTAGCAAAGCATAGCACGAAATGAGATGTTGCGAATCTGGCCGTGATACCAGATGCTGAAAACTCATGTGGTGTGAACCACTGTCATTATGTACTGGACAAGTAAAACCAGTACATTTGAGTACCCTTCGTCCACATACCACTTTTTTTTTCACAGACGAGCTCGCTGAATCCACAGTAATGGAAGCCTGTCAAACTTGGATTATGCAAGCTGCGGTCTTCCACAGATATCCATCTAGGGCTCGGTATTTCATCTACAAGCGACCTCTTAGGGTTAACCTTTTCGGTTATATCTTCGGCTAGAATAAATTTTTTTGGACTGACAAGGTTAACAAGAACAAGTTTTTGTGAGGCCAGATATAGTCAACGAAATGTCATGTTAAAAAAGGATGGGAGACCCCGTCGACCTTCGTGATCAAAACATACCGAGCTCTGTTCTTGTCCATTTTTAAGTATGGTCTTCACTGCTATATTATTAGCGGCGGAACCTATTAGATCCACGCACCGCAAGTACAATAGAATACCGCTTTACGGCTCGTTTTGGGTCTGGATAGAAGAGGCTCTAATGTTACAATTCTAGCTACAAGTGTAACTCTTTTTTCTTTTCAGGTACGTGGAAGATACACTGATCAACAGAGCTAGAACGCTAGAAAGTCCATTTAAGCTAAAGACAAATTGGAGGTACGTATGTGCACTGAAGGACTTACGAAGTGACACGTAATGGCACTAGTCAGTAACTTCGACATAGTTTCTTTTTGCTGGAGAGCATGAGAACATATCTCATCTAGAAGTTATGTTGAATTGTGTTAATTGGCGAGCTATTAAAATGAACTTGCCTCTAAATCGTTTTACCTGTAATAGACGCGGTTAAACAACATATGGTGTATACAGAAACGTAAAGCGGAATAAAAGCTGAGGTTTTGAAAGGAGAGACTGGATACTTTAGGAAGATTGTCGTACTCGTTATAAAGATAAATGTGTTCCTTAAATGTTCTGCATGAATATACTATATATGTAGACGTTCCAGTATAAGACGTACCTGAACTCAATGATATCGTTAAGGTCACTGTGAATTGTCGAAGAAATTTTCCGATCTGGTAGTCTATCATGTTTGGCTAGATGGTATAGGTGCTGAAATATGTAAAAACACAACTAAATTTACGTCCTTAACCTAACATCAGGACGACTTGTTTTCAGTGTAATAATTTAGATGCAATTGGATAGCAAGTGCAGGTTTCCTTGACCCGAACACGTTAGAAGTTTGATCATGTTATTGTACTACTTTCGTTTTCATTGAATTATTCCTCATGATCCTCACTCAGTAGAGTTGTTCCGTTACTCTAATATTCATCTCCTTGATTAGATTGTTCAGTTTCGCTGTTTTAAATGTTTCTATTTTTCGTTTTCCTCGGACCCTGTAACAGTTAGCTCGTTCGTTTGTGTGAATTATCATATGCTTTGATTGCAAAAAAGCTCTCACTTGAAGCATAGTGCTTCAAGCACACCTTATGGTTACGTTTTTCAAGTTTAAACTGATCTCAATTTTCAAAATTTCATGCGAGAGTTCGCCTACTAGAAAAGCTAGGTACGTAAGCGGTCGCATGATAATTTTAAAGAAATTTTCAATAGTTTTCTAGCAAAAACATCATATTGGACTCTGTGGCAGAAAATGAACCGAATTAATTTTTCGAAAATCCAGTTTTGTGGTTTTCGTATAGAGCTATTTATATATATATATATATATATATATAACCAAACTATTTATACAATTAAATTAAATGTCTCTCCAACTTTCAACCTTTGTTGATGTAAATATACGAAAAGGTGCTCGTTTCTTCAATTAGCAAGTCTAAAAAGACTTAAATCTCTAACGTTTGAACGAAATAATATAATATTGTCGTCTCTCAAGGGTACTTTCGAGTTCGAGTTCTACTAAAACCAGACTGCTATAATTACAAGGCTGCCATCTTGCATTATCGAAATATGAAGTAGTCCGTTTCTTCGTTAATTTATCAGGGTTATCGTTGCCTTTAGCCGAATGATAAACTACGTTCTTGGAGATGTTAACCTTGTACCGGCATTGACCTCAGTTATACTCCCGCAATATCATTCCCATCCTTCGAGGCACATACCGGCATTAATTTCTATCAATTTATCTTCGTTTTCCCCTACGATTTAAGTTATGCACCACACCGGACAAAGACATGGAATACAACCCGTCGGTTGCAAAAATAAATGTTTCAGACTTTTGTTATATAACATAACACAGGTCTGGAACACTTATTCTTGTAGTAAGCGTACCCAGCACGAAAACTGTGTTTAAACTATATTGAGTGAGAAAAGCTATTCGGTTATGGGTATTAAGGAATGACTGTACGGTATTCGACGTGACCTCTATTACAAGTACAATTAGGATATTCACCTCCACATAGGCAATATAATGCGGTCAAACCATAGTTAAAGGGGCCATTGGAATAAGATTAAAGAAATGTGAGAATCTACACTTTGTCCTGTGGACGAATAGTTTTTAAACGTATTCTGTCGCCTGTCTAATAAATATTTTTATCAGCTAAATTTAAATACAAACTGTGTGATGACTGGTTATTCGAAAGTACGTATACTTTTGACTTGTATCAGTTTCAACGAATCAGTCTGAAACATCATAAGCATTATAATCAAACACCTTTGGAACTACTTCACATAACAGTAAGAACCAGGTAAATTATACTTACCTCTAGAAGTGATTTATTTTTTCTCGGCACTTTATTTGCCTTTTTTCGAAAGTTTAGTTTTAATATTCTTCGCGATGCTGTGATTTCCATTGTGGGTGGGAACTTCGTGAATGACGCCGCAGTCATCAGCTAAATAAAGTGAGTGTTTGCTTAACCCAAGTAATTGTCATTTTGATTTCATTCAATTAATATATTTAATTATTATCCCATTTAGTAAAGAGGTGAAAGATACAATAGGTTGGTCAGAAAATAGCTACATTTATTTAGCTATAAATACTGCCAACTTCAATTTTTGTTCAAATTATGTAGCAATTACTCTCTTAAACGATTTGCTGATATAAACATTTTTAAACACTTGCCTGTCGTTTTGAATTATTAGCCCACCAGGCCGTACTGCATGGACTTGAACAAGTAATCGGAAATGTTGCGAATATACTTTTATTCAAAGCTTTTCAAAATTTTTTAGGTTCTATTCACTAGAGCCTCATGGAGTCCTTTAACTCTTCAGGGTTTTTTTATAGACAATCTTTTTGTAGACTTAGCTTGATGGGCTGTTGAAGCCCGTTTCATCCGATATATAACCTAACTTTTTTATTCAGATGTTTATTGAATTCAAATCAGAGATCTTACACTCATTCTACTAAGAGGTAGCATTCCATATGTACTTTCGCAATGACTTTCATTCATCCCAAGTTACCGCAGTCTATAAATATCATCTTAAGCTGTAATGTATAGAACAGTATCGAGGTTCACATTGTTCATTGATCCTACGACAAACTTTAACTTCAGTCGCTTAATTATTGAAACTAACCAATCCACGATTTTTTTTTTCTATATGTTCTCTTACCATTCACAAGTCGAACCAAGTTGATTTGGCAACGAGTACCACACGTAACTCCAATGGGGTATGTTCTACATGAGGACTGTACTACAATACCGATTTACTGTGCTATGCAAACACTAAAAAGTGCCACAATAACATTTTAAAGTACTATAATAAGACATTCGCACTGGCCATAGAAAGCCAAGTCGTTTTTTGTAGCAGTTAAGCAAAACACAAATCCATTTGCCAGCATGCGAAATTTTGGGCGCCAAAAAGTTTATACCGGCTTACGGGCATCGCTTAGCACTGTTATCACGATCCAGAGTCCGTGGCCTAGTTTACTGTTTTAGCGCCGTACAGATGGGCCCGTGCTCATGTGATCCACTAGCAGGGAAGATCATGTGTACAAGCGCGCCTATTCAAATTGGGAGAGTGTTGCTCTTTTCAGAGCCAGAACGCGGCTAGGTTCAAAAGTCGCTAGACTGGTGTGTGACTTTACGGCATCCAAGACACGGCCAAGATTTTCTTACATGTGATGGAAAAAGGTTTTAATTCGGATTTAGTTGAATTACAACTCGCGCTGCCTCCGAAAGTTACAACAAAACAAAATCATTACAACATCAACATGCTGACAGCCGACCATACACAAAAGTCACAGTGCAATTGATATTTGAAGTTAATTAGTTAGTACATAAATGAAGCCATCATTGTAAAATTTCCCTTCAAAAGATTTCTGAAGTTAAGCAGACCGTTGTAGTGAGAATTCTGAAACAATAAGTCAACTTCTAGTGGCGACTGAAATTTCCACTCAAACATATAGCCTGAAAAAATTTTACGAAAAATTCCGTTTCGCAAAAAGAAAGCCAATTATATGTGTTATGCTAATTGGTTGTTATTACAACAGATGTCAATCGTAGTGTGACAATAGCTTGCACACAAGACGACGACCGAAGGCTAGTTATTTGCTTGAAATGTGTTTTGGTGTTACACATGGGACTGTGTAATGAACATTCAAGTTAGTCAGACGCTGCAATATAACGGTAGAAGCAGCACTGATAGAGAAAATCTTGCATTATTCATGTGTGATCGAGCTGACAAGTGAAGTAAAGCATTACTTACTGTATGGTGAATATGATAAATGCAATTATAAAGTATCGTTCGATATTTTACGGCTCTAAACACGTGTGCGATATCGTTACGGTACTATACATTTGCTACTAAGTATGGCGCTAAGTATGGTGCGTGATAAACATTACTCTTATATTTACCGATGTTTATGACATCGCGACACCTTTTTTCGTGTTCTAGATATGTGCTTGTATTCTTTGAAATCTGAGTCCGTTCATTCGGAGATCGACACTCGGAATTTCTACAGGCGGGTTGCAATAAGCCACAGGAAATGAAACAATTCGAGTAGTTTACGAATATGAATTCAAGCTTGGAACTAAAATGCCAGAAACAGCTCGTCATATGAACTGTGTATTCGGTACAGAATCCAGTATTAGGTATACTGGAAGCTGGAGGTTCAACGAATTCCGGGACGAAAACGTAAGAAAATAAGTCTCGTAGATATGCGAAAACGTATAACGAGAGCTGTGGTGGAAGCCAACCCATTTTAAAGAGCACTCTGTTAGTACTCAGGCTTAATATTCGTAAGCATTCGATATTTATTGACAATGGTCACGTAAACTACGTCAAACATAATTAGGCACATGGGTGTCGTCTGATTTGAGCCGAGATTAAAAACATACTAAAGTAATGACGTATTTTTGACCGAATTGTGATTTCTGATGAAAAATTAACTCTCTGCGACAATCGCAGACGGTTACATATGTTGGCAGATGCAACTAAATTAATATTATTACCTTAAAGCAAACGTATAGCTGCAGTTGCTTATTGGATCTGTTCTATGGTTTGGAGTAAGTATTATTTGTAAGCATTGTACATAATTGTAAGCACTAACTCGACCACTTCGGCTGAAGTGTACTGTTGACAATTAAAAAAAATAATGAAAAAACTTAGCGTTAAGCAGCCAAGGTTAATGTACCACTTCAATTGTACCAGAGCGCTCGGTCTCACACCAAAATGAGAAAAGTGCAGGATCCACAGTTGACAGTTCTCTGTCATACACCATACTCACGGGCCATTATTGCTACATAGCATCAGTTTTCCAAATCTCGACAACCTCTTGATAAGAAAATTGTTCATGTTTAACTTGTCGCTATTACCTTTTGATACATTATAAGTTCTCGTAACCAAAACTATTAGACTCGCGGGATTACCAGTTGCCATCCAAATGACAAGAGGTCATATACTATAAACGTGCGCACTTTTCTGAAAATAAAAGAAGCCTAAGCCTTTAAAGGAACAACTCTGTTTTTTTTTGAAGTTTACTGTGTCACCTTTTAGAGTGAACAACCTATTGTTGTTTCTAGCTTCCATCTTTCTTGACATTTAAAAAACCGCTAGTAAATGAGCGCTGAAAGGCAGTGATTAACGAAATGCATTATAATGTGTATGCTCAAACGTGAGACGAACTTTGCTACTTAAAAAACAACAAATTTGACATTTCTGAGGGAGATGAATCGATGACGCGTTAGTGAAGAGAGCTGGCCTCCATTCTAACATGTTCTTTAATGTATAAATGAAATCGATAGTCATTAATACGACTCAGAAGTGTTCATTGCCAGAACATGTGCATTCTCCCAATAATAACTAATAGGCACAAACGACTCAAATAGGCCTATGATCATGGTCAAAACGACTTTTTTCGATAGAATCACAAGCGGTCACCATGTAGTATTCTAAAATATCTAAAATTACATCAGCTATTAACCATCAGGTTCTGTCACCTAAATGCTGCACTTAGTAAGGACTCCGACATTTCTACTATCTATACAAATATATGCAGAAGCTGTAAAATGAAAATAACACTATTTCTTCTACCATACCTTATTATTATTATTATTCTTATTATTATTATACAAGCATACATCTAACCTGTGGAATATTTTAGGGTAGGGTAAATGAGGTGCATCAAACCGTGACTTGTTACAAATTGGTCATTTCTTTTTCACTCTCCAGCGCCATGCCATTCCTCCGATCAAGAACGAGGTACATCGTGTTCAGGATTAACACTGTTCTATCTTAAGGCAGCATGGGATGAAATGAAGTAAAAACGATAGCAAGCCCGATTTGGCATAACTTTTTCACTTGAAAACGCTCTCTCAGAAAATAGATGCCCTTTTGTGAGTATCGTTCGCCAACATATTACTTTGCTTTGTTGCATTTTCATAAATGTCGTAGCGTAAAAAACAGATTACAAACTTGTACTTATATATATATATATATATATATATATATATATATATATATGTTAGGGCAAAAGTCTCTCAACAGTTTAAAAAATTGTTTGACAGCTTGAGAGGCTTGACTATATTTTTTTTACTTTCTTGTTTTCACTGGATCAGACTCTCGTACTACTAATGCTGCTAACGTAAAATCGACACTTTCAAACTGTTGACTTTTCCCCATATATTTATATATAATAGCATAGTAATTTTGCCAATATTAGAACACATTTTTTACCTTCACTGACATGTTTTGCTAGCAAAACTAGATGATTGTTTTTAAAATTATATAAACAGTAGCGTGAAATTATGATTATATAAATCGTTCTTCCAACCTTCAGCGAAGGTTGCTTGATATTAAAACTAACAAGCACTTACAACGACTTTATAAAATTTCCTACAACGGAATATTTCGACGGCCACGTACAGGCACGCCATTGTTGCGTTTTTCATGTACTAGTTATCGACGGTGACGTAGCCCTTCTCTAGTTCGCGTAACAAGACAAATACATAAACACGATTATAAAACAAAACTACAAGATAAGCACGTTTATCACCGTTGCACGCCTTTGCAGCAGCGTCTGTCGTTCAATTCTTTGAAGGGATGTTTCGCTCAACGATAATCGAATAAGTTCGTTGCTGTAGTCTTTTAAACGTTGATAAAAGAATACAGTAACATATCGGCTTGTTCCTGAAGATCCTCGGCCTTTTTGAGCAATAGGTGCTTGGCAGTAGCTACCATTTGCGTAGCGATTTTCCGAGAAAGGTGATCAACCTAAGCGAAAGGATGGTAAACATTGACATGTTAGAATAGGTCTAGTAAAATAGGTGCGAGTAAGACCCCACTTTTTGGTCGCCACTTGAAGTGTACTTGTATTGTATATAAATGAACAGCTTCTGGGGTGACTAGAGCAAGCCCGTCGGAAATGTACATTTTCTCGGTAAGAAAAAAGGGATCAGCGATATTACACCTACTCACGAAACAAGGCAGTTTCATCTTGAGAACGATAGGCGGGTGCTGAAAAAATGAATTCAGTCAAATATGAAGTCTGAAAGGGCTGAGGACTTTGGGTTGCGTACCTGTGGCTAGCCAGTTATCAACAGAAACCAACAAACACCAGAAATCAGCACTAAGCACCATCATCAAAAAAGAATATAGTCTCTTAAACATCAACACTAACTATTTTCTAAAAGCAGATCTACGAGTATAAAGATATCCCCCTGTCAGGGTAATATCAGATATACAATGCATATACTATGGATATGCACGAACCTTTCTAACGAGTTCGCCGGGGTCTGCCTTAGCTACTGCTGAGAGTGTTTTGAATCCAGCATTATATAATTGCCTGAAACAAAACGTCAGCGTGTGTTTGTATTGCTAAAAAGCGTTTAACTAGAATTTCTGCATTGGCATCGCGGACTCAGTGGTTTGAGGCTTTCCTTGCACTCCATGGAGGTTGACAAATTTTGAATGAGATAGGCATTTACAAAAGTTTTCTTTACAGTCGATTTGCAGCTGTCCCGTTCTGCTGTTTCGCATTACTTCAGGAACTTGTGAGTAGTGGACAGAATACCAGAAATCTCAATGCTTTTTTATTTACTGGTATCGTAGATATTGCTGGTAAGCATTGCTTCGAACGGCTGTCCCTTTTCAACACAAAACGAAGTGTACCTTTACCCAGTTTCCAACCTGGACCATTCATGTGTCTCGTTTCTAAGTTTTGCAAGCAAACACTCTACCGCTGCACTACCGTGTAAACCAATATCGCACGCAATCTGGACGTACTGAGCAGAACAAATAACTACTATATTCTTTATATAGCACGGATTTTCTTTCACAGTAGGATCGTATTCATCCAGGTTCAGTCCTTGTTTCTCCACTTGATAAAGTTGTTGCCGCTGCACCATCAATGGGATTATAGTATTAATGTAGGAATTAGTATAAAGTGCGCCTGACTTCGTAAAACAGTTGGAAAGTACTCGTTCAGTACGAATATGTTAGATCCTCAAATAATGTTTTTCAGCGCCTCATTTAAAAACTAAGAATATATAAATATTACTCGTATATTAAAGTCTGATGTATTTCTAGTTACACTAACCTGGCTCGGCCTCGCTTCACAGCAGGCAATTCTAGCAACTCGATGAGTTCCATGGACGAGCAGTGAGTCAACCTATCGAGATCGCAGGAATCAATAATATGCAGAATAAAAGCAACCGCTATCGCTCAGTTGAAATCCATGTACGTCTGGTTCAATAGTTTTAGTACCTATTATGAACGAGTTGCGCTGATGACTCTTAAATAGTGTCGCCGATAGTACATTTGGTAATAGCATTGAAAATTCATCCTACAGTCTGTTAGATTAAATATCTAAAATTAAATTAGTTAGTACAAGACGCTTTCATTTTAAGAAGGTAAACATTGAATGTTTTTTTTAAACATATTTGCATTCTTGAATACATTTGTTCTCTGATTACTACTAAGCAAATAATATTTTAAAACAACCTTAGATTCTCTCATGCGTACTTTTGAGTCTACGCAACCCATCAATTTGAGTGTCGTAAAAAGCGCTTTAAAGTTTATGCAACTGATATTTTTGAGAGTTAATCACATTTGATACAATAATGAATACGCTTGAGACATCAGCATATACTTTGGTTTATAGAACAACTAAGCATTGAAGAAAAATTAGCGGAAATTTGATAGACTGAACGTACCTCTCTACGAATGCGGGTAGCAAATCGCGCAACGCCCAAAACTCCTCCAGGCCTTCACAAAAATGTGAGATTGAAAGAGCGTGCGAAGTCGCCTGTGAGAGAAGACTTTGAACGGAGCCCCGATGCTCCTCAAATCTACGGTTAGAAAATAAGCATGATATATAAAACATCGTTTGATACTAGATATTATCACTATCATTTATTTACACCTTCGTCTGATATACATACAAGCTGAACACAGAATAATATAGCAGTACCTTAAAATAGTCAAAAAGATAAAATATCAAAATGACTCAGGACACCATGCCTTGGTGAACTGCCTTATGACACACATTGGGTGTGTACAGTTAGATACAAATTAATGCTGATAGTCATTGATTTTTGGTTGGCAAGTCTAGAAAAAGTTCTCACGAGAACTCTGGGCAGCATCCAGCTACGACAGTTAGCTGTAGATCTCACCAGAGAATATATTCAAGCCTAGCGTACCTTTCAGCCACTTCCCATACACTTTTCGTTTTCCACAAATCGTTTAGTTGAAGTGTGACGTAAAATTTGAGCAGCAGATTTCGTTCTTCCCCTGCAATGTCGATAGTGGATTCACGGCTGTTTAGTTTTAAAGCCGTGAAAGCATGCCTTTTCGTAGTGCAGTAATAAGGCCTATTCATTTTCGATTAAAATGTGTATGATATGCTATTACAAAAAAATTTGCAAAAAAATTGCAAAAGACCTCAGAACTGTTATCATACCAAGGCATAGGTATAGAAATCTTCGTTAGATCGAACTAGAATAACGCACACACACGTACCCTTGATTGTCTTATTCAGCCGAAGCCTGGTCACTAACTCCTCAGTTACCCCAATCGTTGCTGCGACCTTAAAAAAATGTAAAATTACAATTGTGATTGTTTACGTATTACGTGTATAGATTTACTAGTTTAGATTCACAGAAAATCTAAAATGTCTAGTTCTCGATGTATAGATAAAAGAAAGATCAACGGCAATAAAAATACATCTATGATCACTCGCAGTATCAGTGTAGTCAGTGTAATTCAACGACACTCTGTAGAAAACCAGCAACTCGACGAATACGAAGTGACATACACTTCCAGATATATACACGTAGCGTGACAGAATAGCTTACCTCACGATCGTCTTGCGTTAGCTCGTGATAGAGATCCAAATACAGTTCTCCTTTAAGCCTGTTGAAGAAGAGCACTAGAATGATAAGAAATTGATCACTCTTTGCATATTCCTGTTTCATACAATTACTATAACAGCGACCTTAAACGTGTTAAAATGTTTGATGCTCATTCTTGCTAATGAAGTTTGCGTCCATCCTGATTATGGAAGGCAATCCGTATGTTTGTTTGTTGGACATACGTAAGCTCTCGTTAGAAAAATAGTCCATAATTATAGATAGCTTGTGTATAGAGAAAAATGCAATGTTTGCTAACGTTAGTCAATAGAAAGGGCTTTCCAGTAATACGTCTTGTAAGCATAATTCTTAAGAATGGATCACTGTAGTACAAGTACCTTTTCGGTATCATGTCATTAGGAGTGATAAGATAGAGCAAATGGAGGTGGGTCGTAAGGGAGAGATGCGAAAGCGCCATGCGAAGATCCCGATAAAGCGTAGCAACGTCACATGGATCAATGACACCTACGAGTTCGAAGAAATCCAACAGACATGGTAATTCAGTACATAAAGGATGTCGACATATGCATGTCTATACAGCAAAAATGTTAACACATAAAATTAGTACCTCATTGATATTTTATCACTATAGTATACACTGTAAAGCCTTAGCAAAATATATAGTTACGTCTTGTTTTTTAAACTGCAGACAGGATTCCTTGGCGCGATTAATCGTTTCCGCAGTGCATTAGTCTCAATGTACACCTTCCTGATATAATATATAGTTATTTCATATATGACAAATCGAACAGGCAAAAATTCCACAGTATTTAATTGAGCTATATCCATAAACATACCTTTGAAACTAGCACTACCAAGCTTGCTTACGCTTAAGTGTCCGTTTTCATCGCACTTCAGAAGCTTCTGCTTAACAAGACTTTTTAACACCTCGTGAGCCAACTCTGTAGCAGTCCTGGTAAATTTCGAAAATATGTAACAAAGTTTTATTTAAGTAATCTAAACTTCAGCACTAGATTATTCTTTTTTTTTTTTTAATTTTCATTATTGTAATTATTACTATTGTGAAAATTTTTACCTTTACTTTAGCTTTGGAGCTTCGGTAATGATATTTGTAAAAGTCGACAATTCACAAATGACAAATACTTAAAGCATTGTTGAAATGAATCAGGTGTTTTATTTTTTATGGCTTGTATTTATCAGCATATTTGGTTAACGTCTATCGCTGCGAGACTAACTCATCCCTAGGGACGTCGCTTGTCTTAAGATGCATTTCTTTGTCGTTGTGGTAAGGTTTGGGAGGGTATGTATGTTTAAGCGCTCAAATGTCGTATAGTGACTGTCTATTTGTGATGCACGCCTAAATTCATGTCATTTTACAATAAGAAAAAAAACAGATCATACTGCTGCATTTATCAGTGCAGTAGAATATGTGAATCCCTATATCAAAAATGTATGGACAAACATTATGCAAAATGAGTTCACCAAGCAGTTACTCTCTTCTTGAGCGAAAATCATTACATTCTTTTCTCGTGTTATATTGGAAAATGGTCTCCACCAAGGCACAATTATTGACGAAAGTATCGGCATTGATAGGTCTTGGCCGTTTCAAAAATAAAAATGGCCGCCCATAGGCATTCCCACTGGTATTTTTTGTATTTTTTAGGAAGCGATACATTTGGGTTGAACTGTAGTTTGCTACTGCTCAAAGGCTTATATTTCCCTAGAAGTATTCCTATGTAAATTAGGACAAATTATCCATACAGACGTTGCTCTAAATGGCATCTCCTCTTACGGCTAAGCAATTTTATGAGACAACCAGCTGCATAAATGGATAGTCTTTTTCACCTGTCTTTATTTTGTTGGCACATTAATGTACCCTTGAAGAAATCGGAAAGAAGTTCTTTTTTTGAGACCATTTGTAAACCCACAGCGGAAATTGCAAGGGCCTCGAGGCCTCGCATGGTTAAACTAGAACGGCAGTTTTCGACGGGCGACCGAAGCAACTTCATTACCTGAAAGAAAGGTTAGTGTTACACCATGACTGCCAGTGCTGGAATGGTTATGAAGTTGATCGGCAAACGACCAAAATTATCATGGAACTTAATTAACGCTATTGTTCTCAAGTATTTCAATACGCTTTTGGTCTACAAGGAAAAGCCAAATTAGGTGGTATTTTCAAAATGTCCTCGAAGCATATCCCTCGAAAATAACCAGAGTGGTTGACCTCAACTCTTAAAAACATAGTACAGTGTATTACTGAAGAAGTAAATACATCTGAAGATATATTGTTTATACTCACATAATTCGATCACTTAAAATGAACTCAATAGATGCCGAGGGTCTTTTTTATAGTTTAAGTAAAATAAGATAAAAGAACATTTCCGGAAACGCTATACATCGGTATACTCGAGGGGACCTAAAAAAAACCAAGCCACTGGCACCAAATATTATTACATTAAAACCTATTAGGATATGCACGTTATTAGGAAGATCATGTAAATAAAATATCACCTACATCTGTTCGAAGTGAGGCCTTGCAAATAAGGATACTTTCACCTGAAAAAAGCATCACATAATACACATAACTGACAAGGTAAAAAAATCATTTGCTCGAAGAGTATACAATCGCTTATTTCTCGATTCGTCTGTATATATGACGAATTTAAGTATTTTACTAAGACGTATTAACAGCTAGACTCTGCAGTTTGAAAAACCAATTAGTACGCAATAAAAAATAACTTCCACTTGATAAGTTCATTTTTTTTGAATTTCGAATGCGTACAAATTTCCTATTGTACTTAGAATCGTCATTTCAGTGCACAATACTACAATAATAATTGTAACTACGGATATTTTGTAATTTACTACAGACTTGGCCACGCAACAGAATTAGTATTTCAGATCATAATTCAATACTGTATGTATTACCAATTCCAGAAGTAACATAATTAACAAATTAGCTTTTTGTCTACTCCATTTCGGCTTCCCATTATATTCTCCTATTCCATCGATAATTAGTTTTTTGTTAGTTCCAACCTGATGTATCGAGACCAGCACGACCAGCTCTTCCAATCATTTGTTTATATTTGGCGGGTGAGAGGAATTCGACGCCAACGTATGGAGACTTGAGTATAACTCTTTTCGCTGGGAGATTCACTCCGGCAGCTAATGTCGACGTACAGCACAAGCAGCAGATTGTACCTTCCAGATAAGCTTCCTGAGCGGGAAAAATAACCGAGAATAGTAGAAAACAATTCTAAAAATAATTACGCGCCGTTCAAATATTTACAGAAGGGAAAATTAGAAATGAAAAAACTGATCGGTCTGCGTCATGCACAGCGAATCTAGTAAGTATAGTTAGTCGACTAGGGAAAAACAATAAGTGCTTGCACAAACCTCAATTAGCTTCCGTTCGTCATGGGTGAGTCCACTGTGGTGGTAGGCCACGCCATACGGGATGGTCTTCATGAGAACGGGGCAAACCCTCTTCTCGTCTCCTTTAAGAGCCTTCAGTAAGCCAACCTGCCAGTGGAGTAACAGTAGGTCGATTGGGTTTTATGTGTACGCAACTAAATTTTTAATTTACAAGATAGCAATTTTTGCGAAATAAACGATGTCAGATATATGGCGATATCCAGTTTATTGAAGCTTCATATATATTCACATGTTTTTCTTGCGTCCTAGGATGGAGTATATCAATCAAGTGTTCTGTAGGACCCTCTTGCTATTGTTCTTTTCGTGATAATACTCGCACTATGCATTCAGCTAAGTCAAAGTTTGTCCGGATACGAGATTACTTCAACTCGACATACAACGCAATAACAATCGACAACAAAAATGAAAATGTTTCCTTGCCGATCTAGGAGAATGCCGGACCTTCAAGATGTTGTCGAGATTCTGCTAAACGGGACGGCACTGTACTTACTTTATTACTGACTTTATGGTTTCGTAGCTCAGGATCAAGAAATCGTGCGAGCGTGAGGGCTACGCTTTCACAGTTTTTTCGAGTGGGACAGAAGACAAGGACGGAGGAAGACGGTATCACTTCACTAACCAGGGTCTGCAAATGTTTTTACATTACGCATTGAGAATGAATACAATATCAGGTCCGTTTTAGAACTTCATAGAAATAAGGTACAGCTTAAGATATTATTTTATCAAGTGTCTAACATTAGGGTGTTTTCGACTGTTACGTTGTAGTTACTGCAGCACTTCTTGTATTTCGATAACGTTTAAAAGTACAGTTTTATTGGTAGATAAAACGACGATTTAAAAGTTCTTACGGTAACGTGATCCGGATCAGATTTTTCCTGCTCCTGTGTTGTAGCTTTTGGCAGCATCCGGTTGAAACGTAACTCAAATTGTTTCCCAACCTGTATTAAATACACGTGACATCGTACGAATTTACCCGTTACACCCCGTTGTTCCTTACCAGAAAATGACAATCAGTGAGACTTCGCCCTAACATACATCATTCATATGTAATAATATGAACTGAAAATATGAGGAATCATATTTGGGACGTGATTCAAGTAAGCTTGCTTATTCTTTTTTGAATCTTCGTGGCACATCGAAAACCTCCAAGTTAAGGTCGTCTAGCATTGAACTAACTATATATTATTTTAGTATTTCAAAATGACGCAACTTTAAAATCGTGCGACATGTTAGGACACTTTTTTATATTCTGAAGATGCTCGTATTTTTCGAAATCCGAACCTATTCACTTGAATATCATCATTCAGAATTTCAACAGGGAAGTTAAAATAGGCTATAGAAAATCAGAAAATTCGACCGGTCGACATTACCTCAAGAACGGTGTGATCAATGCTTATAAACTCCACGAGATCAACGGGACGAAAATTGCCAATATACGTTTCAGCATCCAGAAAGCTGGAAATCGAAAACGCATTTGAGGGTAAAACTTAGCTTCTATAAAGATCAAAGAGAGGTTAATAATTGGTTAACAAAACTATTTTGAATATGATGTAAATAGATATCGTTTCATTATTGCAGATAATCTTTAACCCTGCTGATACAAGATTTATCTGATTTTTCGAATTATGCTGAATAGTATACAACTGTCGATTAATACGAGTAAAATTCCGATCTACGACAAATAGAGTTCTGCTTGGCTGCTCATCCCCTGAGCACTTAAACAGAAAACACGTATAATGGCACCGATATGACAAAAGTTAGTAGGATCTTGGAAAGACCTCTCAGCTTTAATATTTTTCTGTGCGCTTAAGTACTACCTACAATAATAATAATTTGTTAACCACATCTTGGTATATGTAACAGAGTTAAAAATATGTAAGACTTCCTTGAAATATGTGAAATACTACTATGGGATATTAACCTTGCGAGCTCCTCGATGTTGCCAATCGTTGCACTCATTCCGACAATTTGCGCACGTGATGCACTTTTCAACTTAACAAGAAGTATCTGTTGAATATATTAACTGGCTTATAAACAGTTCTAACGAAAGGGCGAAGAACTAACCTTATGATATTGAAACGAAGTCTAAACGTTAGAGTAGATTATTTCTCGATAGTAGACGCGCAGGCACTCACAGGGTTTGTAGGTTTAGAACGTAGCATGGGCGAACATAGAGAACTATTGAATATCTCGTAGGTGCATTTTCCAAATAATATCTGTTGTCCTAAACGCTAATTTTTTTCCCAAGTTAAACTGTGTGGCCCTATAATATTTAAGAGCGTGACTTTGCCACTAATACATCTAACTATATTAAAAAAACGGGACCTATACCTCGAGACCAGCTCCTCGAGTACTACCGTCTCCTACCATATGTAGCTCGTCAACAATCACCATACCGAGTTCATCTAATCTCTTGGTCTCCACCTAAAAAAAGAATTCGCTCAATAATAAAAAGTACGTAAGCTAGTCGAATGAATGAATAAACACAATGCAAACTATTAAGCGACATGTATTCTCTGTAAGCTTTGACGCTTTTTATTTCCAGGCTCATTATTGCAATTAAAAATTGAAAAAAAGAAATTTATTTTGATGAGATACTGAAAGTGTTTTAGTTTCCCGCATTTAGTTTCTCAGATCGTTGAGAATTTTGTTACATTATTGAGTGTCGCTAACAATCTTATCCATTACTAAGGAAAAATTTATCCTAGTAGCTTGATTATGCTTTATATGAAAAGAATGCCCTGAATTTCGGCCGCTAAAACTACTCTAAGATATTACAGACATGGCAAAAAATTCAAGGATAAGTTTCCTATCCTACATAATCTTTTAAAGTAAAAGAAAAGTAATATATGTATTCAGACGTATGTGATATATTGCATAACTGCGCATTCCAGCGTTTGCAGCAAATTTTAGAACCTCTAGCAAGTTAACTAGATAAAAAATGATCGACATCTATAGGGAATGACACTCAATTTATTTACAAGCAAAAATAAAAACAGCTCTGGATAGAAACGACAAAGTTAACTAACGTACAAGAGAGTTGACAAGAAAGTGCGCTTTTTCGATTGTAGCGATAAAAATCGAGGGTCGTTTCTTTCGGTCAATCGGCGGAATTTTACCAGCTTTGCCTGCATATTCCTCCACAAGAAAACCCAACTCGATACCTGTAAAAACACAACAAAAATGACGTTATTATCATTTTCTGTGACGAATATTTAAATGCGTTCTGTTACTTCTTAAACTTTATACATACTTGATTCGATCTTGTATTACACAAATTTAATTCATTCGTAACGTAAGGTTGCTGCATGCATCAAAAATATGTGCTAATCACTCAGCTGGTAAAACAAGTGAAACAAAACGGGGCGATCTTCGTTTATTTCGTTTTCATCATAGCAAAACTAAGATTTTGCTCATTTTCTTATTTAATGAAAAAAAAAAACGTATATATTGTTAATTTGGGAAAGACGCGAGTGAATTGTAAGAAACGTGTAGGACGTACCGAAATCAGCTAGTGCTCGAACCTTTTCCTGAACGATGGAGACAAAAGGAAGTATGAAGAGCACATTTTTTCGTCGAAGCAACATCTCCTAGAAAGGTTTAAAGTCATCGGCGAAACAGGTACGGTAATTATTCTACTTTTACAAGGCCCATCCATACAGTGTTTATGATACTGAGTTGCGGCCTCATTTAGCTAGGTGTTCTTGTTAGTACATTAAATGAAAAATACTACTCACACAAAATCCTGACAATTAGGGGAACGGTTATATTTAGATTTGACTTCATCTCCTAGACGTCACATACATCGCTATAAACTATTCTATAATGTTCGTGTCGATAAATGAAAAAAGACTTTTTTTACGATATGTCGTTCTACTGTGAAACAAACAAGTTTTTAATGGTGAGAAAAATTCACGTTTATATTGATGATTGCTTAGCAACGATGTGTACAGGATGGTGTCATTATTCTCGTGTTACCCTTAATTTAGATAACTTGAATCGGAGTCAAAGCTCTCACGATCAAATAAAACTAGAAGTTATTACCTTAAATGCGAGTATTTCGGCCACAAGAGTTTTTCCACCGCTTGTGGGGAGTGAATAAATAAGGTTTCTTCGGGCTTCAAGAGCTGGTAGGGCTAGGCATTCGCGCTGCCAGTCGTACAACGTAGATATACCTGGAATGAAAGATACCAAAGTAGCAAATTTTCGTCAGACCCGTAATGCACTCATGGATGAAGGACAAAAATATGCGCAAATTCACATAGCTCCTGTCCAACGTGAAAGACTTAGAATATCTTCTGGTAAGACAATAACTCAAACGGAAAGCTTTCCAAATGATTTGACATTAGTTTTTTTATACAGACCATATTCGAAACATTTTCGCAGTAGCATCATATCAACGAGACAGGGTAGAACATGCGTCTTGTCGCCTCTGTTTCACTGGAAACGAATGCGACAAAACTGCGCAAGTTATACGAGCAGAGCATACGGAAACATACCGCGACTCTTTTGCAGAAGATCTTTGACGAGAGAGGGAAGCCCGAAAAAGTCGGCACAACCATGAATAGTGATGGTTTTATTAAACTGCGAGGGATCGTTTTTGTCTATTAGTTGCTGACATTGCTGCTGAGACTCTTCAAGCAATAAACTCATTCCTAACTGAGTTGCCTCTTCCTGGCGCTGGTTATAGCGCAAGCGCTCTGTTACCTGAAATATGTCAGCAAAGAGATGAGGCCTGAATTCGCACCTGTGTGAAACAAGCGATTCATTGCATGGATGAAAAATCACTGTAAATATGTTTCCAAAGCATAACAAAACCAACCAAACGAGTTTAATTGTTCTAACACTAGCACATTAATACGACTTAGGTAGCTACCCTTTGCTGTTATAGACCAACGCGTATTTGAATTTCGAATAACACTGCCTTCAAGTGTTGCTTCAGATGGCTGACATCATAACAATACGACACATGCCCACCCTGAATCTCGAGCCCCCACCGGAGCACTTTTTTGGTGCTCAGTTTAAGCTCATTATTTAAGCACCTAGTTATAAAGAATATGATACTCAATAGAATTGGAACCTGTAGTTCCCTGTTGTCACAGTTTAATAAATCAAGACAGTGCACTAATATTTTTCAAATAATACTGTGTACGGTGCAACTCTTTACGACGTTTAATTTGTGTATCTTTCCCATTAAGAGATCTACTATTGGTAAATCTTCTCGAACAGAAAATTACTTCCCCATGCGTGTTTACGACGTTTAATTTATGTATCTTTCCCATTAATAGACCTATTACTGGTAAATCTTTTCGAACAGAAAATTACTTCCCCATGCGTGTTTACCATCGTTGTTCATCCAATTTTAGCCTATATCGCGTCGCCATTTTTGATCCTCCACAGGAATTTCCAAACATGCGTCAAAGGCTAGCGGGTTAAAGAAAATAAAAACCGGGGTCGAGGCACGGAACAACACACTAATACCCTTTAAATCCAGTTACATTCATGCTTTGTTCTTCCTTCTTCCATATGCCCAGCCTTAATACGCAAACCAGCTCGCCTGCTTGGCCCGTTTCTCCTGTTCTTTTTCATCAAAATAGATCGCACAGCCAAGTCGCGTATGCGTGGACAACACGTTTTTATTCTACCATTAGCCGCTTCTCGCTTTACTGCTACTGACGTCTGCATGCTGAGTATCTTCTTAGCAGTACTTTCCTTCATTTCATCTCATCCGGCCAGTGCCAACACTTCCAGTTGCCACGCATTGGCAGCAGCACCGCCACAACACGACTACCCTGAGCGCCGCCTCCAGATTCTGCCATTCTCTTTGTTTTTCCTTCGTATTTCTTGCTCTGACCCACTCTCGACTTCGCATTGCCCTCTTCGTATCCTTGGTGTACTTATTTGTAGCAGGGGCCGTTATTGCTGCTAGCTTGACTAGGGCCGATCGCGGTCCCTCTGCGGCCTTTTCAATCCCTGCCCCTGCCGTTGGGTTCATGTGTATACCCCAGCCGACTGTTCTCTGCCGCTACAGCGGCCGCCGCGATCAATGAGCCGCAAAGTATCGGTCGAAACCGAGCACACTGCGTAGGAAGGAAAGAAGGAAACTGGTTGTGCTACAACTGACCTAGTGTGGTGTTACTGGTCTGCTGGATGTCTGAGGGTTCTGGTTTATGTCGAGCCGTCTGAGAAGTCGACGTCGAATGTACAGTGAACATTTTCTTGCGCTGAGTCTCCAACCCATGTCTTGTCTACAAACTGGGCTGCCTGACTGGCTGGGCGTTTGCTTGCCGTCTAGCATGGCAACTTCGCTTTCTTGTATGCACAACGCCTTAAATGTTGTGAATAAATAGCATAGCGGTTGAAATTCATACGATTAGTGAACAGAACTAGCCGAATAGATCTTACGATCAGTTCTATAATAGACGCCATAGTAAGCTGCAGTTCTTAGTCCAAGGCTCCAAGTAGTTGTTACTAAGAATATACTCGACAATTTCTCATAGTTAGCAGTTAGGAAATTTAGAACATAATTAATGGAAATGACGAGTATACTAACCTGAAATAAGGGCATTTAGTTTTGGTATTGACTATAGTGAAGTTAGTCAACCTAAAAAAAAACATATCCGTTTCCTAGTCCTTTCGTCAATATCAAGCGAAGTATGTTTTTTGCCATATCAAAGCGTAGTTTAAAATTGCCAGCCAAATATTTTACACCTATCAAGGTAGCGCCATCTATGCCGCTACTCATCTATCAAATATATATAAAATTATATAATAAACAGTCGTTTTCACTAGCCAAAACCGTTTACGTAAGGTACTTTGTTGCATACAAAGCTGCACATCATTTGCAATTCGACGCATTCAGTTAGCTATTCTGATTTTCACAGTAAAGCCCCACCCGTCCCCCACCCCACCCCTTTTTTACTTTGGGGACGGTGCATGTGGGGGGAAAGCGAAGTGGAATTTGACGCTTTTGAACGGCGTGGGCTTTCTTGCACTGAAAGCAGAGTACTTCATATAATTACGTTTTTAATTTTAGATTACTGTTTGGAATCACCAATAAGTTTCCATTATTTATTTCAAGTCATCTTCTCTGCGTTTTGAACTCGTATACATGAATACCAATCTAAGCAAATTCTAGGTACCCAAGTAAAGTCAAATTTATATTAAATACCATTGAGGGTATATCCTTCGTGCTTGCAGACGTACTACTTACAAATCAGTATTTACCTTGACGGCCTTGAGGTTTGTGAGCTTTCTGTTTGTTTAATAAGTCAGCATATATTTTCTGCGCTGGTCAGGTTGCGTCTGTGGTAAACCAAACCCACTTTTAAATGAAGTTACTTTTCATGTGATTTTTTAGACTGCCATCGTGCTAATAAACATATTTATCTATTTCGTATGCCATATACTCAGTGTCTACAAATATTTGTTCCTCAATTATGCGCAGCTACTTTTATAATACTCCGTTTTCGAAAGTTGCATTATGTAATATATAATGTAGATTTTACCTTTGTTCTTTAAATTCGTTTATTTTTCTGCTGCAATGGGAAACAGAGGATTATCACGAGTTTACCTTTCCGCCAAGTATCACAAATTTCTTTAAGTGTTTAATAATTACCTGGTCCAAGATGGACATGCTTAGCACGGCATCTTGTATTGCACCGTTCAGGTTTGAAGTGTTGAGGTTTGATAGCACCGAACGTCTCCGTTTAGTGGGACTTACTGTAGATGAACTATTTGACGAAGCATGGCGGGCCTTTTTCATAGGGAAATCGGTATCTTCCAAAAATGACAAATCGAACAAATCCATCGAATCATCCGCCATCGCAACTGCTAAAACCAAAGTATATATGGAAATAGCTAGTCAAATTAATCAGTCGGTATTAGCACATACATACCTTGAAATAATTCTAATTCATACGCATATTTAAGCTACTGGACAATACTACTAAATAAAAAAACGTTTCAACCATTTAGTTCTATACCAAGTGCAGATGTTTCAATCATGCGAATCTCTAAAGCCTGCAATGTAATCCCCGCAAGATTCAATGAACCCCTATCTTTTGAACAGTTTTTTCACTCATTACAACAATTGATTCCCTGATCTGCTTCCATTTTTTCTTGGATGTTCTCGATGCCTGAAAGCTTTTTCCATCATGTTTTTCTTTAGCTTTGAGGAAAGAAAAGTCATAGGGGGCTAGATGTGGAAAATGCGAGAGCAATACAGCCGTCGAGTTTTTGCAAAAACACGACAGGTAGTGACATTTCGACTGGCGTATTATCGTGATGAAGAACTAACAACCTGTTCTTTTAGAGTTTATAGCTATCTTGCCGAATAGCACTACGTTACGTTTTTGACACTCGTTGGTAGTACCCCCTACTGACAACAGAGCGACCGGTTCACAATGTGCGACCCTTATAGATCCAAAATACTGCGAGGGTAAACTTTGCTTACAGCTTTCATAGGTCTGGGATTGTTTTGAGAGCGAAACTCAGTCGATTGTGCTTGTGCCCGCATATTATATTCGTATACTGACGGTTCTTTCTAGCGTCCAAATGGCTTTGGTTTCAAAATGGTTAAAAATTACGTGTATGAGATGTTAGGTCTTCTTCACATTTTCGTTCATGTTTGTCAGTCTGTGCAATGGCGACATGAGATTAGAAATTGTGTTGAGTTTTTATCATTTATGACAACATCTACATGCAATAGCAGATTATTTACGTAGTTATATATATATATATATATATATATATATATTTTACTCAGATATGACATGTAGTTTATCCTGAATAACTGTAGATAATACTTGATTTAGCTACAAATGGACAAAGCTCAGTTAATAATAGAGCACAAACCCATTCAACATAGTTACTATGCGCATGTAAAATTTATGTGTCCGTAGTTTAATGGGGGAAAGGATTACAAGGGATGTGGATAAAATGTTAGTTTTTACAGCCTGTGCCGCTCATACGACTACAATTTACTTTACTCTAGAAAAGTAAAAGCGGTCTTAATTCAAACTGAGTAACGACGTATTTCTTGACTTCATGGATGTCCGCATACTTTGAGACGGAAGCTGCTTGAGAACAGTTATGTAATACCATTACCATTCCGCTAAGTTCGTATATATTCGCTGCAGGTTTCTTATCTGAACGATAAATGAACCCTGACTGAAAAAGGCCTTGCAGGCATTCCTTTTTTTCATATATTTTACAGAATTCGTTTAGCAGTGTACGTCACACGTAGCAAAATCCAAATGGTTTATGAACAAACAGAGACCTAAACAAAGGAACTAGAAATGTATTGTACTAGGTTCAATCAGATAGAATCAGTTTTGCTATAATTAATTTACTGTAACTTTTCCGATTATACTGAAGTAATTATTAATCTTAAAACGCACACTTCCCTTCAAATTACAGACTTACAAAGCGGACTGTATCAAAACAACAACCCTAAATGATTTTTTGATAGTTTAATTTCTTTGCTTTTTAACCTTTACTTGACCTTGTGCCAGTATATAGTATAATTAATGAAAAATTCAATTTACCCACGCTTTTGATACACACAAACAGCTTTTCGCAAAGAGTTTCCATCATTTCTATTATTCAATGAATTGGATCGGGATTCACAATAGAGGTGGTCAGCTTACTTTTTTTATAGGCCTAACCGTGTTCTACATGCAATATCCGGTTCGATTGTGCTTGTAAATCATTATGTAGCTCTATGCTGTGCCATAATTACCTCCGAGCCCTTATCCTAATCTTATATGATGTCAAATACACATGCCGCCGCCACGAATTATACAAATCCTATGTTATCTCTTTATAAGATCTGATTACTTTATATAGACCGTATCTTTCTCTTTATATCTGTCAATATGCTTACATTTTTTGAATGCGAATTTTGTTTGACTCTTCCAGCAAGTTTCACTCGCGTAACAGTAAATACAGCTGACGAGGCTTCCAACTGCTATTAGAAGGTCACCATGTATCCATCGGCTATAATTTCACTGTACATTTATGGAGAGAGCGTCAACTGTTAATTTTATATTGAAAAGCCTGAAAAATTAGAAATGGCATACACTAGGCTGGTATTCAGGCATATAGTACCATGGAGGATGCTGACAGCCTCTGTCAACTCGCTTTGTTCTCAGGTAAGAAGTATCACACGTTCGCGCCACAACTTATCGATTACCTGTCTTAATGTTGACATTTACTCAAAGTGAGCAGACGATACCTTTAAGCCACTGCACTCTGCAGCTCAAAATGGCGGGCTATTCAAATCCGAGAGGACTAATAGTGAAAAATGTTTTTCATAACATATTGGCTGCGTGTAACTCAGGATTCCAGTGATAGCTTACTAAAGTAATCCTTGGTCTAAATTTGAACCCTAAAATAGGCACACTTCGTTTCTACTGGAAGCCAGCCCTCTGATGTAATGCCAAAGGATGATAACAACCGTAAAACTCGAAATATAGAGGATTCAACTTAGATGGATGTAACGACGAGATGGATCAGCAAAGATTTCACATTGATTTCATAAACGGAGCCAAAAGCTAGTATGGCCATTGTGCTTCAATTTAAATTGAAGACAGCGCCAAATCTTATAAGCTTATTTGATTAAATAAAAGTTCCATGTCCAATTTAAATTGCTTTTAGGCAGATCTATTCCTAAACGTATTTACTTGGAATATCCATACGAACGTAAATTTGACTCGTCATATGATCATTGTATTATTATTAGTATCTTCAGTACTAGTTTCTCTATGTTTGGAGTGTTACGTCCGATATCGCCGTTAGACATTCCATCAGATGCTTGGGTTTGAACCTAAATAATGTGTCCCTATTAGCAGGCAAATTCATTTAGAAAAAATTATTAAGAAAAAGATAAAAAAGGACTTCAGTATTAGTATACATATATGCATAAAGTGTTAATGTATGCATTGGGTACTTGTGAGGAACTAATACTACTGCCAGCCTCGAAGAAGCCCCCGTGATTATGCAGTAATAACGTCCTTGTTTACTGAACTTAAAGACATGTAAGGAATTTGTTGGCGTGCTCTGGAAGCAAGCGGACGTGATCTGACCGAGCTCTAAGGAAAAAACGTTGAAATCTTAATTTTCTAACGAGAATTTTGGTGAGCTAGAACTTTGACCTTTTAACATCACTGTGTCAGGTGAACGATAAACAAGTTCTAGTAGAGAGTGCTGTGGAAATTTAAAGTCCCCGGATTTGTAGTGCACCAGTTTGTCCGAATCTAGTGCTGGTCCGAAATGTCAAATAGGACTTACAGAAACTTGTAGGAAAATGGACATATAAACACGAGGACAACTGGGATAGACTCTAGGATACGTATTATTCTCCGGAAACAAAACATCAAGGGATGGTAGGAAACGAAGAAGGATGACGGACTCCTTTGTAAAAGGAGGGAACGGAAGGCATTACCGATGGCAGAAGGGTATTCGGGAATGCTCCGACAGGATAACATACCGGAAGTACATATAGAGTAGCTCTGGCGACCACGAAAGGAGGGAAAACTGCGCGAGGGCATCAGTGTCGCATTAGCGGCTCCACAGCGAACAGCAAGAAAAGACGGCGGGGAGGTCATCAGACGGCTCACCAGGGCTGGATCTGTTAAAACAAATTACCGACCGATGCGCCGTGCACATAACTTTAACGAAGTCAACGAATTGTTCTGTAAAATTGCTGAAGAGCATGAAATAAATATTTAAGAACACTCAGTTGATTATAAACTCACGGTCTGGTGGTTCGGAAACCAGGACTAAAAAAAACTACGTTCCGTAAGGGGAACGCATTCCTTTGCGCGAAGAGAGCTGTAAGATGGCAGTCAGGGACTGACTGACAAAAACGAACTTTGCGACAGTTGGAGAATCCCGTCAGACTGAATTACTTTTCGAAAAAAGGAGGGACGCGGAACATTAAAGGGCAGTCAGGACGAAGCAGACGCATACTCAAGGTGCAGGAACAAACATAGAGAGGGCAGGTATCCCTATGCCTCGGGGAGAGCAAACTTTATGCTGCATGTGCAACTTACAGGTAAAGACGGTACGCTTCGAAAAGCTCAGAGTGGCAGATTTCGCGAGAGAAATTGAAGCTTTTGGTAGGTTGCAGACAAGCGATGATCTGGCAGCCCCTACCACCAAGTAATGGCCCGAAGTCGTGTTCAAACATCGCATTCGCTCGTAGTAGCATCCTCAGGGCATGCAACACTCTAGTAATGATGGTTAATCAAAGTTTCAAGAAAAACAAAGTGTTGATGAAACCGCTCTCTGCGCAGCATCCGCAACAGTTATGCTTCAGCAGGTCGGCGGTATGGCGATGCTGCAAGGCGGTAATGCGCTAAAAATTAATAAATAAAAAACAACGGACCCAATCGAAACAAGACCTCATGAATTTACAGACGTCTCAGAAAAGGCTCTACGCCAAAATGATGAAAGCAGGTGAGACATCGAGCAACCTCTTAAGGATCCTCTCAAAAATCGTCGAGAAGGGTGAGGATATAGCGGCATTACTGGTAGCAGATCTTCTGGGGTTCCATACTCCATAGAGGATGCTGGACATGCTCAGCAAAGCGGTCCAAAGGTTAGATATTGATCTCTGCGTACTTAGTGAATCAAATGCAACAATCAGATTCTTAAACGACAAATGGCGCCAGCGACATGGCGGTGTAGTGAACAAGGCAGGACAAAAGGTTGGCAATCAACAGGTTGACGGCACTAGGATTAGATAGAAATTCACATGGACAGATATAGAGGGGAAAGTGGTGTTATACAGCTGCCACCTCACAACCAACCTATAAGCAGAGGACCTGGACCGCTTTCTGAGGAGCTTAACAGAAAATCTAGAGATGCAGCCTATATTATCCTTGCTGGGGACTACAATTGAAAGGCTACAAAATAGGTAAATTTATATGCGCTCGTCAGAGGTCGTTACCTACAGGCATGGCTTGCAGAGTAAGATTTGGGGGATCACAGAATGATGTAAGGGTTTCCAACTTACTTACTTACTTGAGACCACCAAGAATCGTTAACTGATCTTAGAATCGCGGGCCAGGATGTTTTCCCAGGAGTTACAGAATGGTCAGCGACCGAGGAGGAGCTGAGCAGAAATGGTTACGACTAAAAATGTATCGACGGGTGAGCACAACAACACCTCCCCATAAGGTGATAAATGCAAAGACTCGTCCTCACCCGGCTCTTAAAAAAATTAGATTGACAGAGATTATAGACAAGCCTGCGGGGCCATGTATTATTAAGGGACTTCATAACTCAACTCTTCAAAAATAGCCGATTTGTACAGAAACAGAGATTACTCTCATGCCCAAGTCGGCAGAAAACAGATCCAACGGCCTATCGCTTAGTATGCTTTCTAAATACCACAGCAAAAATTATGGAAAATGTAATCGTTATCCGATTTGAAATAGAAGTTCGGGAGAGAGAAACGTTGTTCGAAGCTCAATACGGTCTTAGCAAATGGAAGTTTTCTCTTGCAGCTGTCAGTTCAAGTTCTTGATAAAGCGCGCCAAGGGAGACAGAAAACGCGGACGATGAAGAAGTTCGATCTCTCGTTTCCCTAGGTACCTTCAACATGGCAAACTGACCATTATTATGAGAGGGCTTGAGAAAAAGGCTCTCCTAACTTCTGTGTATCTTTTTTTCAAAAGGTGTTAAACACGAGCAACGAAAAGCAAAACAGCTATCGTAGCACCCCAAAAATCTACACTAGATACCCATATACAATTATGTCCTTAATATGCTGGACCTAGCGGAGGGAGCCGAGTGTGCAGCGTGCGCCGATGACCTTGCCTTGTTGGTCACTATTCGAAAGGAAGATGACCTTGAAGATCGAGTAGACCTTGTATGACCTAAGCATTTTTTTTCGAAATTGCACTAGGGTTGAATAAGGTTACTTTCTGACCAATAGAAAAAGTGCGAAGGACCGAATTTCTGGTTAGGCGAAAACACTATCGAAATTATAAAGGGAACCTAGATATCACAAAATGATCCTTGACACAAACTTTAGGGCATACGCATATGCAGAATATGCAGCGATGAAGGCTCTGTGAATCTTGTACGATCAATGCCCATTGTAAGATGGTCATCTGAAATGTGAAAGACGCCTATTGGCAGCAGTAGGTGAGTCTATTATACTGGAACGTTACCTCTGTCATTGCCCTCAACAACAAGAGGGCAGGGCAGAATAAAACGGTGCTGTCTGGGTGGCTAACTTGAACGCGTTGCCATGAAATCTATGCATATCCAGCCATCGCTGGTTCAGTTTCAGCATGGCAAATGCTTACCATGGTATACATGCGTATAAATACTATGCCGCTTCATAGATCTATTAAAGAAACCTCGGACGATTCCATCCCGGCTAGATATTATTGGAGGCGAGTTCTCAATACTCTATACGGTGATTTCATATTTGTTCACACATTTAAAAATAAGCACAAAAAAAACAGACGGACTCCTCCTCTCGCGCAAAGAACGGCAGACATCAGCGCCAAAACGTCGCCATGGGACCTATTGTTTCACAAAAAAGCCAAACATTACCTACAGGAGGAACCGGGCTCGTGACCACGCGGAAGTAACAAGAACAATGGGCGCATGATGCACCCCCCCCCCCCCCCTAGACTGAGTATGGGTATCGCCACGTAATATGACCGGCCATTCGGAGAACTCACGTGTCACGTGACCGAAATATTGGTTAGGTTCGTACCTATATGGTGAAGGGTGCAGTGAACTGCGCTATAAGGCTGTTCGTTTCATACGGAAGGTGGTAGTGTCCTAGAGCAACGCTTACTAAAGTCAATGCCTGTCAGAGTCGCTTAAAGCATTATTTGGCTTCAACGATGTTTGTTCACTTAAAATAACTATACGCTTTTAGTATAGAATGAGTATCAGTCAAAAGGAATGGTTGACTGCGACAACAGACGTCAACTTCAAAGTAAGATATGACATCGATCTCATTAGCGTCGTATGCGGCACGGCCTCTATATGCTTCATGTGTTTGCTCTCACCTACTGCTTTCGAGATTTTCACAACAAACGGCAGCGCCATGTGAAAGGATTCAGGACGATCGAAACCAATAATCCCTAGACAACATTCACACTAAAA